GTAGAGGGCAAGAGCAAGAGGCGGTCAGGGTAGAGGACAGCACGGGGGCTGGGGTGCCAAGGGGGCTCCAGGGTTAGACCCGGCAGGGTTGACTCTGCTGTTTTAGACAAGGGTCCCAGTTGACAGACACAGGAAACCAGTGCGAGGCTCTGTCCTAAGGCATGTGGCACTGGGTCAGTACTCGGGGCTCAGTACTCAGGCAGCCTCAGCCATGGCAGATTCTTGAAAGAGCCTCAGAGAAGCCAGCCTCGGACACACATGGCCTCAGTCCCCACAGCGTGTGGCTACTGTGTTCAAACCCCACATCGAGGCAACGCCTGCGTTTCTGCAGTCTCTAGAACAGCTTTGTGTCAGCCCTTCTGGAGGAAGTGGAAGAAGCATGGCGTGGCCTGCAGGCGCTTTGGCCGGTGCTGCGTATGTGGGGGTAGCTTTAATAGCTCTAATTTGTCCACTAACAAGATGATTTTGTCCAAGCAGATTGGAGACATAAAAACAGCTGAAAAGTATTTTCAGGATGTTGAGAAAGTAACACAGAAACTGGATGGACTACAGGGTAAAATAATGGTTTTAATGAACAGGTAAATGATTTACACCGAGGATGCGTGTGTCAGCTTCCCTGCGAGCCTCTCTCCCCAGTGAATGCGTCCCTCTCCAGCTCCACCATCCCCGAGCTGAGGCCCAGAGTCCGGGCCTGGAGGCACACTGGTGTCTTCTAGAATGGCAGCCATAAAAACGAAGTGTTTTCTTCAAAGGACTGCTCATGTGGCCCTGTTTCCACACTGTCCCTGGCACACCCACCGTGGGGACCTGTCCTAGTCCCTAAGAACCATTTTCATGAGTGAAATGTGGCAGCTTTGGGTGCGTGTTCATTAGGATGAACCTGCAGCCAGTAAAAAGCATACGGGAGGTCAGAAGTGGACATGGGGCAGGGCAGGGGCTAGTTTTCTCAGCAGGTTTCTAGGTTCAGTTACAGCTGGGAGCTGTGGTTGCTCGCCAGCACGTGCAGTGTGGTCCACGGCCGGGAGGGCGCAGCCTCCGTCTGAGCAGGGGCTCCCTAAAGAGCAGGTGCTCCTGTCCCCTGGTGCATGTCTGAGGCCATCATGCGGGGGCTCCCTGCTTCCCTGTGCTTGTGTTACAGAGCCTTCCTTCACCTCGGCCAGAACAACTTTGCGGAAGCCCATAGATTCTTCACAGAGATTTTGAGGATGGAACCCACAAATGCAGTGGTAAGAATCCCAAGAACAGACCTAGGACACACAGAGCCCTCAGTGTCTTGGGGACTAAGAAGTGGGCACCCTGGCAAACCCAGGCCCTCGACTCTGTGGGACTGCTGGCACCGGGCAGCTGCAGAGGGCCCTGGGCCCTGGGCAGTGTGAAGCAGGGGTCTAGGCTCTGCCGGGGCCCAAGGTAGCAGTGGGAGCCGACGGCGGGTGACCTGCTGCCTCTGCACGTCCCCTGTCCCTCAGGCCAACAACAATGCGGCTGTGTGTCTGCTTTACCTGGGCAAACTCAAGGGTTCCCTGCGGCAGCTGGAGGCCATGGTCCAGCAGGACCCCAAGCACTACCTGCATGAGAGCGTGCTCTTCAACCTGACCACCATGTACGAGCTGGAGTCCTCGCGGAGCGTGCAGAAGAAGCAGGGCCTGCTCGAGGCCGTCGCCAGCAAGGAAGGGGACAGCTTCAACACACAGTGCCTCAAGCTGGCCTAGGCCCACCAGGGCAGGGCGTCCTGGCCCACACCAGTGACCTCTGTGCACGGTGAACACCGGGCACACGAGCTGCTGCCACTCTGCCAGGCTCAGTGCCGCCTTGCGCTGCAGCCAGGGCCACCGTCAGACCAGACGCTGCGCCATTGGCCGACCTCCAGCCCCACAGTGCTGTGTGCCCACAAGGAGCCCTGGCTTCTTCCTGGAGGCTGCCCTCTTCAGTCACTCCTTGTAAGCCTCCCAGAGAGGAGCTAGAAGGTGTGATGGCAGCTGTTCTCATGGGAGGGTTGAATAAATCACGGTCCAGATGCAGCAGCTCCACTCCCCTGTCTGCCTTGGCCCTCCCGCAGGCTTCACCCCCACCCGCCCCGCAGGCCGGCAGGCCTTGGCTACCTTGTGTTTGGTAACGCAGTGGTGGGAGAGGGCAAGGCACTGGCTACCTTCGGGAGGGGTGGGTAAGGAGCCCAGGTGCAGACCCCAGCAGACGGGCAGAGCTCTCGGGACCAGGCCCCGGGCACCCTGCACTTGGGCCTGAGAGCCAGGGCCTGTTCCTTAGTCTCCACTCTGAAGAACTTAAAATTCTACACTTCACCAACCGACTTCCTTTAAGTGTCTAGTTTTTCTAATACACTTAAAAATAGAATAACTTAAATACTCTGATTTAAACATTTATTGCACAAAACAATGTTTCTATTCACAGTACAGTGGAAAGACACAGCCTCTGCAGGCACCCAGTCCCACGGTGTTGGTTGAAACGCATTACTTACACATTCAAATAGGAGAAGGGCTGGGCTGGGGCTCAGCAGTGGTGGAGCGCACGCTCGCTCGCCTAGCACATGCAGGGCACTGGGTTCAATCCTCAGCACCTCATATAAATAAAATAAAGGTACTGTGTCCACATACAACTAAAAAAGTATTTTAAAAAATTCAAGAGGCAGACAAGAGAATCATTGAACACGGGTGTGGCCTGAAAATTTTTTTCTATAATAAGAGGTAAAACAAGCCAGTGCACCTGTCCTCCCAACCACTCAGGAAGCCAAGGCAGGAGCATCACTTGAGCCCCGAAGGTCAAGTCCAGCTTAGGCACAGGCGAGACCCTGTCTTTGTTTCTAAGCAACCCAAAGGCCTTCCCCGTGAAGTTTTCCTTCAGTCTGGCTTCGGGGATGAGAAATGGCGCTTCTCTTCCCCGAGGGGAATCTCCTGGGGTCACAGAACCACGTGGTGGAAGCAGATGGATGGGACAGGCTCCCACTAGACGCAAGCCAAGCAGCAGGGAAAAGGTCAAGGTTCCGTCCATCAAGCCGCCTCCCTGTGAGCAGAGGCACTCGGGTCATAGCAGCCGCTGCCCCCGATGTCGGGCTATCACGCCTTCCCCCTGAGCGCTCCCGTATGACCGAGTCCTGGGTCAGTCCACATTCCCCCAAGAGGAAGGGTTAGCTCGGGGACCTCAACTGGGAGTCCCTGGGCCAGCAGCAGCAGTGGCCCCAGAGACTTCCCAGAAAGGAACATTCTCCCCCAAGGCTTCCAGCATGTGGACCTGGGGCCTGGGCTGCGCTCCAGGTCCACCGGCCCCCAAGGCTCCCAGTGTTGTGCAAGCTGGGAAGCCCTGTCACTGCTGTGCAGGTGAGGCCGTTTGGCATGTGCTCAAAATGGAGAGCTGATGGCAAGTGACTGTTGTGGGTGGAGTACTCCAGTGTAGGCCCAGCCGCTGTCCACACTGCCTGAGGGCCACAGCCTTGGGATGGCCTGGGGGCCTCCTCTCCCACTCCCAGCCATATCTCTGTGTTCCCCCAGACACACCTGCCTGTCCTCTGTGGGGCTGGAAGCCTTTGTGACCCCACAGATGGCATCCTGGGGTCCACGCCTGCCTCCCCTTCGTTCTGGCCACTCCACTGCTGTGGTGCTCAGCCTCTCTCTCAGCAGCGTCCCAGCATCCCCCCGGGAGCTTCCCAGGCCCTCTGGGTGCCTCCCACCCCTGCCGTCCTCAGGCCTTGCCCTGGACTAAAGGAATGACTTGCCGACTTGCACGTGGGCTCAGGGCTAGACGTGCAGGCCGCTCTCTCGTGGGGCCTCAGAGGTACAGAGGCTGTGCTAAGTGCCTTTGCTGCCACCAGGGACAGAAGAGGGTCATCCCCTGGTGCAGACAGAACAGTTCTGTCCCACTGGGTTGAGCCAGGCAGGGAGGCTGGGCACCAGGGTTCCCAGCCCCAGTCCTGGGCACCATGTGGTCAGAACAAACACACCAGGGGCCACGGATGTCCAGGAAAAGACACACTGACCTCTCCAGGCAGGGCCCAGGCCTGCGAGTTGAGCTTCATGGGCACACTCAGCGACAGGAACAGACAAGGCGGACCTTCCCACCTGCGGGGGCAGGCTGCAGACGGAGGCTGTAGTGCAGCCTAAGAAGGTGGTCCTGAGTGCGCGGCCATGATCTGTGCTACTCAGGGTCTTGCTGTCCCTCCATTACAGGTGCTGCGTGGGCACCTCCTCCCCTGTCAGCCCCGGAAGCCCCCTCAAGAGCCTCACACCCTCCTCACCCTACTGCTCTCTCCAGGGCACATGCTCCACCCAGTACAGGACCTTCAAGGAAAGGAGCAAGAACAGACACGGTGCCGGGCCCTCTCCCGGGGGAGCTGTGGCCAAGCCTCGCACGGCTCAGCACACACTCAGGCACACACAGGAGGGGAGTCCACTGTCCCAGGAAGCCCAGCCCTCACCACCCGGCAGTACAAGCCAGCTGTTTTCCCATCAACCACTACTGTTACTGTCACTGGTAACAAATGGTGACGCGCCTGTTCGGCATGCCTCATTTCTCCCTCTGATCAGGGGAGAAGCGATCCACAACAGGCTTATCGGACCATGGCACCTGCCTAGAAACGCTCTCCGAGCATGCTCCGCATCTGTTTCTTTTCTTTTTTTGGCTTGTTGGGAACCCAGGCTGCTCTACCACTGAGCTAATCCCAGCCTTTTTTATTCTGAGGCAGGGTCTTGAACTCGCAATGCTCCCACCTTGCCTCCCCTGGACATCGTGGGTACTGTTCAGGTGGGACGCGCTCGAGGAGCCCTCAGCGCTCTCCTCTGCAGTGGTGGCCGGCAGAGCTGGGTGGAGGCCCCGTCACACTTCCGCCCCTGGGCCAGGTCCACCACCACTCAAATCAGGCCAGGGCTTGGGCCCGCTTCACCACCACCAGGGATGGGGGATCCTGGGGGAAACCTCGGTGTGCCCACCCCCTCCCAAAGACTTGCACAAGCCGTAAGGAAAGCGCTGGGAGCCCAGGTCTTCGCCCACCTGGGTCCTGGAGCGGGGCCTGAGCGCCCACACTTGAGACTGGGCCCACACTGTCTTTGCTACGCAGTCTTCTTTGCCTTGCTCTGCTGTCACAGCTCCTTGAGAATGTGGAGGCCACCTCGAGCTGCAGACAGACACGGGCACCCTGGCCAGCCTGCTTGCCTGTCCTGGAACAGCGTCTCGCACATAGCAGTGCCCCAAGAAGCTCTGGAGTGAAAGTCACACTCTGCAGTGCACTGGTACAGGAGTGTGCAGTTGGGACCACAGACCAGCTGGGAAGTCCTGCTCTGTGAGTCCCACAGCCCCACTAAGCTGTCCCTCCTGTGGGGGCAGAGGCGGTGGGTTACAGCTTCTTGACTGGCCTCCTCATCCCCACCCCTGCCTCCCCTGAGGCCATGCCCCCTCTGCTCCCATTCCTCCCCAGCTCCCCATCGGAGAGGGCCGTCGAGCTCCCGGCTGCCCCCCAGTCTCAGGCCTGTGAAATCTGTCCCTTGCCATCCGTCTGACTCCTGCCACCGCCACCCCTGACTCTGTTCCAGTCATCAGCCCTGTTTGTCAGGCAGGTCTGCATTTGCTCTTCCTGTCCCTGGAAAGCTATCCACCTAGTGTCATGAACCAAACTGTCCCCAAAAAACTTGTGTACTGAAGCCCTACTGCCACATGAGTGTATTTGAGTAGAGGGGTTTTTAAGAGGTGACCAATGTTAATGAGGACATAAGGTGCCCATTACCTGGGCACAGCCCTGCTAAGCTCCATTCCCGGAGGACCTGGCCTGTACTGGGAGGACTGTAGCTACGCCCCACACCCCAATTCCTTGGGTGCACCCAGCTGAGCCCCCTTCTGCATCACCTGGCCTAAGCTGGAAGGCAGAGGGATGCACCCCCTCACCCAGGCCCCGCCCAGCTGAGCCCCATCCTGCGGCCTGTGCTGGAAGACTGCAGGGTCTCACTGCAGCGCTCGGGGCAGGTGCACACATGTCACACACTCCTCCTAGGTGAACAGGCAGTGCCCCTGTGTCCTTTAGCTCCAGGTGATGCATAGGATGACAGCACAGGTCATCTCAAAAGAGAGCCAAGGGCCCGGAGGCAGGGAGCTGAGTGGACGCAGGCGTCTTGGCCAGCATGGGCTGCAGAAACCAACACAGCAACAGGGTGGCTTCAACCCCGGAGCACGTGCTCTCAAGTTCTGCAGGCTGAAGTCTGAGGCAGAGACTGGGAGCTGGGCTCTCCTCAGCCCTTCCTGGCTGACAGAGGGCGCCTTCTTACTGTGCCCTCAGTGGAGTCTCCTGTGTGCGCACATCACTGGTCAGCCACAGTCCCACGGGATTGGGGTCCCGCCCTGCCCCACTGGCAGGTCTTCCAGCAAGCTAGGCGTTCTGGAGTGGGGGCTCAGCCAGGTGACCCCAAGGTGGAAGGGGTGCAGGACGTCCACCACTTGGCCTCCTACCAGCATACGCTCTCCAACGGCTGGGAGAGAAAACAGCATGTGCGTTTCTGGAACATGATGGGGCAAGAGGAACCAGTAAAACGGTGAAAGCTGGGGACGGTTTTGTTGATCACTTACTACGTGTTCCTAAGAGAAGTCTGTGCAGTACTAAAGCCATCCTGTCGAGGGATTTTTACGATGTGGAAAAACTCAGTGAACACGTACCCACTGATGCAGACAGGACTGTGATGCAAGAATGTGACCGAGGTGCAGGGGGGGCAGTGGGGGCAGAAGTGCACCGAGGAGATGCGGCACGGCCTGCTGGCTGGGCATGCGGCCAGCCGACTCGGCCAGGAGCAGGTCGGTGCCACAGGCAGGGCTCAGGTGTGTAAGGTGGATCCACACTGTGCAGCGTGGCGGCCACACCCGTCAGTAAGTCTTTCCTTCTGCTCATCAACGTCTAGAGGCACTTAATGCCAGGCCCAGGGCTGTGGCGGCTGCCTGGTGGGCAGTGGGCCTTGACCCTTCCCTCCACTCCCTGCAGGGCCACAGGACACACCCGTGCTCCATGGTGTACAGCCCGGCTCCCAGGCCACACCTGGCCAGCCTCTGCCAGCTCCCTGAAGTGCCACACGGCCAGGACCTGCACACCAGCACCCACAGGGAAACGCAGCAGACCAGCCTCTGCCATCCCGGGGTGGCCTTGCACCCGAATCCTGCCCTATCCCGTGGCAGTCTGCAGTGAGTGCAGGTCACTGTGTCACCAAGTGACAACCATTCTGAGTTCACAACACCAGTGCCACATGATGAGCGAGGGTGTGCATGGGGTACCCTCAACCACCATTGCTGCAGGTGGACACTGTCCTGTGACAAGCCAGGATTATCGCAGGTCACCCTCATGCCACAGCTGCAGGTGGACACTGTCTGGGCCTCTCATT